GGGGGGGTGGTATGAAAACAGCGCAAACATATTTTTTTCTTAGTGTTAAGCAAAAGAAAAGATGAACTAGAAGAATATTTGCCTTTCTTTTGTTGTCGTCATGACAGACAGAAAAGGCCGCTGAATCTAATCGCCAAAAGGGTTTTCTTTCATATGGGGCAAGGGGAACGGCTGGAATGTATACGGAGGGAAAAGACAAACACATTTCCTCGGTCAGTTCAACCTAGAAACATTTTTGTCTTTCCGAACCTCGCCCTTTCATGAAATTGAACATAAATCCCAAGAAGGACACCTCCCACTATTCATCAGCTGACAACAGCCTAGCATTTGGCAATCGACAGTTTTGTCTGTGTCTTAACTTCTAAAATAGAAACAGAAAAAAATATTTTCTCTAAATGTACTTTGATATGTAGATCTACTTGCATTTCCTATAACTCTTTGTAAGACTTATCGAACCCTCTTGATCGCCTGCTCTTAGATTCTAACTGTTCCAAAAAGTTGACTAAACTCCTTTGAGTTCTGTGGCTGCCAGCAACTGTTTCAGCCTCTACAAGAGTATCTATTCTTTAGCTGTCTCCATGCCTTAAACAGGAGACAAAAGGTACGTTTTGTTCCGGCAGCTCAACAGCTTGAAAAAAGATATCTTCTGATTAAAAGGGTTGTGTCTAGACCCGTGCATACTTCTATCGGAGGCAAGCGGTAAAACGATCTTTTTTATGACCAAGCCGTGCTCAAATAGGCATGAAACATTACTAAAATGATAGCCCCTGAGCAAGAATGGAATATCTACATTGTCGTTTCTACTCAAGCAGAACGATACGACTTTTTCTTTGTTCTCGTAAGTCTTGCTTTGTCTTTTTAAATAACTTTAAATCTTTTACCATTAGGCTAGCATAGGCATACTCATCATCGTCATCAGCATTTCTCGCCCTTTGCCAGAGTATAGGCCTCCACAAACGCTTATCTTCCTCTGTCAAGGACTTTAACCTCCAGCTCAGTCCAGCTGTGTCCTTTATAGATTCAAAACTAAGACCCTCCTCCAAGTACTTTTATACAGTAAGAGGCAACAAGGTACTCATTCTTTAGAATTATCAATCCCCTCCATGGGTAGACTGCATACAAAGTAGGTTATGCTACTGCAGTCTCACCGTGACCTAGATCTAGTGGCGTTCGGGACATGCACACTGCACCAAAGTGCACTGTTTATCTACCCGAAGAAGGGCGCCGCTCCTAAACACTAAACAGCAAGCGGCCGGGGTTAAATCCTTTTTCGCCCCTCATTGCCATTCTTCTGGCTCGATCAATAGTTTGTGTTTTCCACGTAGAGCCAGCTATATTCACCATACCGTCAGCCCACACGCCGGCGTTCTTCCTCTGTTGTGTGTGCTACGAGCCATGCCCGTGTGTGTGTCTGTGTGTGTGTGTGTGTGTGTATGCGTGCGTCAGAATGTAACCCTTACGCGCGCTCGATCGACGTTCAGTCGGGGACAGAAGCTCGACCATACCAGGTGTGCACTTTACGGGCGTGTGTTTGTGTGTCTGTATGCACGCGCGTACGCGTTTCTCTCACGACAACTATAGAGAACTAATATTATTCTAGTTTTTTCTTGTTTGAAATAAATTAATATTAGTCATAAAACTATTTCTGGCGGTAGACTATAATATGTTGTAAACGTCCAGGTACTGCGCCCGTGCAAGCTTTAAAAAATATAATCGAAACCGGCAGGCAGTGTTGCGGTGTTGCGAGGAGCTTGGCAGTGAATTCGTGCACATCTCAGCACAGCACTCTGCATTGCAACTGTCCTCCGTTTTCGTCTTTTCATAGCGGTCCTTTTGATGGTCCCGTTTTTATGGTCCCAGGTAGCTCTAGATCTGCACCTTATTCCCCTACGTTGGCCGACTGTCGTCTTTTGATTAATACGGGTGTTTCTTCATGTGTCAGCATTCGTCTTATTCGCACAGTGAGGGTTTGGATCATGTGTCTTATGGCCTGAGTTTGTTTAGAGTGCTGGATTTCAATTTCCGTTCGCTTGTTGTGTTCAAGGTGTAGGCCTGCAGTTCGAATCTTACAGTTGTCTGCTCTGGTCAACAGGCAGCACTTTCGATTTACCGAGAGGATCGTGTTGCATTATGACGTGGTATCGTTTGCTTTCCGCCCC